TTAATTAAAGTTCACGTATATTATCTTTAATTAATAACCTATGTTTTTTAGAAAAAAAAAAAAAAAATCAAAAACTTCTTAGTTTCTAAAAATAACTCAAGGTAATTTCTTCTATTGTAATTCTATTTTGAGATTGCATGGTATTTTTTATCACTAAAAAAACTGTTTCAAAGAATAAAAAAAATATATTCACCTCATGAAATATGTTTATATGCAATTTATTTCACTATATATCTTTATTTGATTGAAGCTTAATTTTACGTGACAACATTTTTTCTTTACTAATTTATCAATTTAATATATAATCCTTTTTTTACCATGCACATTCTATTATATTGTTAACTCCATTCTTTCTCATAATTCCATTTCATCATACTAATTAACTATAAACTTTGCAACTATTCAGGATAAACGCCTATCCGATGGTATTTTCTTTCTTGAGCTTCTTAGTGTAGTGGAAAAGAGGGTGGTAAACTGGGGTCTTGTTACCAAGGGAGAGACCGGTAATTTTTAAAATTTCACAACTTCATTCCATTGATGCAATAATTTGAGAAAATAAACATTTTTTTTTGTTTCGATTTATTACAGAGGAGGATAAGAAGTTAAACGCAACGTATATAATTAGTGTTGCAAGAAAACTTGGGTGTTCTATCTTCTTATTGCCTGAAGATATTCTTGAGGTAACATCATTTTATAATACTGCTATTGAGTCCTTTTGTATTACAACTTTACAAGTTGAGTCATCATCATCATCATCATCATCATCAAATACTAATTGAAATTGTTGACAGGTTAACCCGAAGATGATTTTGATCCTAACAGCGAGCATTATGTACTGGAGCTTATTACAGAAAGCTAAAGTTAATGAGGACGATAGACCACCAGATGAAGCCACTGTTGCAACAGAAGAAGTAGAGGGAAATCCAGCCATGGATGAAGCTGCTACTGATGATGGTGGTACTGGTACCACAGACAAAGAAGAAACGGTAACAGAAGAAGGGAATAGTTAGTTGATGCAAAAATACAGAATAATTATAATTAAAAAGAAAAAAGTTAAGTATAATATTGATCATTTATAATAAGAATTTAATCATGCTAATTCTCCTTTGTTTTCTATTAAGTGGAGTGGAGGGGAAAGCAAATTGTACCTTTGGGGAAATGTGTTAGACAGTAAGGGTTTTTGAATCTCCTTTCCTGTGTTGATCATCTTGATTGCTTTGAAGCTTTTTAGATGGGGATTGGAGCAATGCATGTAAAATTTACACATGTAATTACTCGTGTTGTTTCTAGTTGTATTCTTTAATTGTTTGTTGCATGTATTTTCATCAAATAATTAAGTCTAATTTTAGTGGCTTTTAAATCTATTAAATAATCGAAGAGGCGATGAAATAGAATGGAGCGTTAAATAAAATAAGTTTTTCACGCTAATTTGATTGATTTTCATTCCATTGGGAGTAGTGTTTTTGATGGAATGGAATAGAGTATTAATTTATAGTGCAAGCGGAGATACAATGGCTTACTTTCAACCATAACGGGAGCGATACCACCGAAATCGCATAAATGTCATGTTATTGTTTACCACACAAGTGTGGTTTCTTGCCACACCAAAGGAGTGGTGCCACATTTTTTTTTTTTTTTAACTATTTTATTTTAATAAAACTTGTTTTTTAATAAAAAAAACATAATTTTAAAAAGATAATATTTCATCAATTAAAAATACAAATACCATACAATACTTAACTTTAAAAAAAATACACACACCAAACGATTAAAAACTTAAAAATTTTAAAAAATAAAATTAAAAAAAAATTAAAAAAAAAAAACCTAGAAATTAGTTACGATTTATGTATCGTTTTTTCACTTCCTCCTTCATCGCCAAAATCACTTCAAGCTCGGCCCGGTCATATTTGATGTGTCCATCGCTAGTATTCGCATGTCGCTCTCCCTTTGTTTCTAAAGCTCTCTTTCAGAAGCAATTTGCAAAATCTTGTCAATTATGTCTTTTATACCCTTCATGTCGGCTCTCATTTCTTTCAAGTCATCTGAATCCAACGCTTTTCCATTGCCTTTGTTTTTTGCTTTGTCTCTTCCCATTGGTCGGGAGGTGGTGAAACTGGAACAGATTCATCTTCATTCAGATCAAATTGAACACGAGCATCTAATTTAGTGTAACATCCCAATTTTCGAGTCCAAAAATTTCATTTTCATTTCTTATTTTATTTAATTGAGTTATAAAACTTCCATAAGAAAACATAGCTAAGACATATCATTTCATAAAGCTAATATCACACGTCTGAAACCAAATCATAAATGTAACAATGTCAGAGTACAATCCCAAGAATCTCATAATGCGGAAATCCAACGTGTGTGTATGATGTGCAGCTACCGCCTCAGCTCCTTCCCCTTCGCTGAAGAGGTACCTGAAACAAAACTAAAAATTGTAAGCACAAAGCTTAGTGAGTTCCCCAACGTACCACATACCATATAATCACATAACATGCATATACTGTTAGGCATATCTTGGTGCTCAACCTACCCCTTCGGTTCTATCGATCGGATACCGCCTAGCATATCTGGGTGCTGCCCTCCCCTACGGTCATCTCGATCAGATACTGCCTAGCATATCTGGGTGTTGGTCTCCCCTTCGGTCCTCTCGACCGGATACTGGGGACTATTTCACCCCCTCTACTACTACCACATAACATGTAACACGTAATCGTATTCTATCTAGTATGACTGGGTATGACTACCCCCCCTTTGGCCCTCTCGACCGGAAATCTTGGGGACTATCTCCCCTACTGCTACTAGCATATAACATCATATCATACTAGCACATAACATATCAGGTAGTAGCGAACCTAGATGAATATCACAAAGACGGTCATCTAACATACGACTCCTATTGGTGGGTCGGCCTTGGTGCCATAGACCCACCGCTACTAGAAGGTAACTCACCTTGTAATGCTGACTGCTGAAAAGTTGATCGGTAGATGTCTGGCTGCTGCTCCGGTGATCCTCCGGCTATAAATCCATAAAACACTTAATCAGACATTGATAACTACTTTTAGGGTAAATGACTAGTTTACCCATAACCAAGTCAAAGTCAAAGTCAACTTTCAGTTGACCTGACTCGCCGAGTTGGGCCGCCAACTTGTCAATTCCCTATCCTTTCAATTGCCCTCATTCACGCTTATACTCGTCGAGTTTAGAAATGACTCGACGAGTTCTCCATCTATACGAACCTCGAATGATCCTTCATCCGACTCGCCGAGCTGTATGAACAACTCGTCGAGTTCACCTTCAACTGTTGAACAAGTCCTGACCTTGACTCACCGAGTTGTATAAACAACTCACCGAGTTCATCTTCATTTGCTGGGAGATGGCCTTGGACTCACCGAGTCTGCGTATATACTCATCGAGTCCTATGAACTCCAGGTCTATGGCTAATTCCAAAACGTTGGGTCACTCCCTTGGACCCTCTAAAACCCTTCTAACACTCAACTGGGTTCCTTTGAACCCTAACAGAAAAGGGGAGTCAAGCCTCGGACTCACCGAGTCCCAAGAATAACTTGCCGAGTCGAGGTTGTCCAAGTCTCATTTCCCGATTTCTGATGTACAACACTTGTCCAAATGATAGATCTAGGCTCCTAAGATCGATCTAGCATGTAAAGTTACGAACTTTACGTGCATGCATGGGACTTTGAGCTAAACTGGTCCTATAAGAAGCTCTTGAGTTGCATGAGGCTTTCCATGGGTGCAAAGGCAGTCCCTTTCTGCCTTCTAACTCCTTAAGGAGCCTGGATCTGAAGCCTCAACCCCCAACCATTCTTGCAATCATCGTTGGTCACCAAGAATGGCTTATAAAAGCCCTAAATCTCCCCAAAAATGGATCTAATGCAAGAAGAAGCAAGGTATCGACTTTATACCTTCCAAGAACTGTATATGATGCACAAGCTTGACTCCTCTGGTCAACCTCTTGGTTCCTCAAGCTTTTCCTTCCATCTTGCCACCACAAAGCACCAAGAAACACCAAAAAGGCTTTAGATCTTCACAACACGATTAGGGTTTTGTATGGAGTGTTCTAGGAGCATAAAGGGGAGATGGAGGCTGTATAAGGTCGTTTAAATAGGGTGCAAACCCTCATATTAGGGTTTTGTGCAGCCAGAGTCTACTCGTCGAGTCTTGTCGCCGACTCGACGCGTCCGCCACTTAACCCCCGGGTCCAAACCGCTACTACTCGACGAGTTGGGCCATCAACTCGCCGAGTCTCAGTCCAAATTGTGAAAAGTACTTGAATGAAATACACCATGAACCGGGTGCTACATGTAGTGTAGTCAGACTCAGATGTTTTGCTGCGTTGTGAACCACCGTCCATATGCCCGTCTGCTGTTTTGCTACTTTGCCATTTCTTGTTATCTTTCACACAATTCCAAACTTCAAGAAACTCGAAAGCCTTCTAATTTTCTTTTTGATACACTTTCAACGCTTTCTTCAAAATCACTTCATCGCTTTCTCCACTTTTCCATTGTCGTTTCATGTTGTTCCACAAGTCATTAAACAACATGATTTCCTTGTTTATCTTCCCCCATTTGGAGTACACTTGATGTTTTGAACAGTATTCCCCATGGTTCATTCCTTTATGGAACCGGTGTAAAATGTGTTTCTTGCATAAAAATTGCAACGGGTCTTTTTCGGTGGTGGAAATTCAATTGTGCATCCAAAAACGTGTTTCTTGCATAAAAATTGCAACGGGTCTTTTATTCACCCGTCGTCCCAAAATTGCCCCTACCGTCTAATCACTTGCATCGCACATGATTTAGAAACGCAAAGTCCAATCGAGTGATTGTAAAGATAGGGGCTTCAACAAGTTTATTCTTTAAAATAGTAAAAGCTTCAAGACATGCTTGATCAAAGGAAAATGGTGTGTCTTTTAAAAGTAAATTGCAAAGTGGTTTTTGGATCGCACTAAAATACTTGAGAAATCTCGATAAAATTCGGCACGTCCAAGAAAAGAATGGATGTCTTTTACAGAAGCAAGTGGGAGAAGAGTAGAAATAATTTTTACTTTTGACCGGTCGACTTCAAAACCACGCTCGGAGACAACTGATCAAGTACAATTCCCTCTTTTACCATAAAATGTCTATTCTCCCAACTTAAAAGCAAATTAGACTCAATACAATATTTTAAAACTTTTTCTAATCGGTCTAAGCATGTATCAAATGAAGATCCAAAAATAAAAAGAAACATCCATAAAAATTTCTAAGGAATCCCCCACCATGTCTTAAAAAAAGTCATCATACATCTTTGGATGTGACGAGGGTATTACACAAGCCGAATGGCATCCTTCGAAATGAAAAGGTGCCATAAGGACATGTGAATGTGGTTTTGGATTGATCATTAGGGTGGATGACAATCTGATTATACCCTGAGTATCCATCCAAAATTAATAAAACTTTTTTTTCAGATAACTTCTCAATGATTTGATCTATAAAAGGGAGAGAAAATGGTCCTTTGACGTTGCAACATTGAGTTTACAGTAGTCAATACAAACCCTACATCTGGTGACCGGTATTGTTGGGATATTTTCTCCATCTTCTGTAAATATGATACCCAACTTCTTTGGTATTGTTTGTGTTGGGATCACCCATTCGCTATCGAATATCGGGTAGATAGTGCCCGCATCCATCCATTTGAACACTTCCTTCTTCACAACTTCACGCAAATTTGGATTGAGACTTTGTCGTACATCGTAAGATGTCTTTTCTATGAGATCAATGATGATTTGATGTATACATGTGTTTGGACTAATATCCTTTAAACTTGTTATTTTCCATCCAATTACTCCCTTGTACTTGGAAAGCACCTTCAATAATGCTTCTACTTGTGGACTTGTCAAATCAAAAGATATGATTGATGGGTTTTGAGCATTCTAACACTTCCTAAGTGTACATGCAACCCTAATAACCTTGGATCTATGTTTGTCTAATTATCATGCAAAGTTGAATTCCAA